TGTTCTGAACCACTTTTAGGTAAAGGTATGATACTTTTAGGTATCTTCGTACCTTACGAATGGTGGCCCGTTGAGACGTTCGCTTCTCATGAGTGAGGGTGTGGATTTGAAGCTTACCAACGGCAAGTACCAATGTGTCTTTTTCCGGGTTACACTTACTTTCTAAAATTATTTAGACACCACTGACAAACGGTGAAATAAAACATTCTGAGGAAACCTGGACTTACAATTTCTAATTATAAGTTTGAAATCGCTAACTCGCAATGAGCAAGCATGGTGATTAATGCTCTTACCTTCTCCATGTGAAAAGAGGCTTTGTAGCAGTGGGCACTTATAGGCTGTTGATGATGATGTATAAATGGCAGACTAGGTTACAAAAAGGTACTGCTATAGGTATTTTAAACTGTAAACATCATTTCAAGACCATATAAAATGACGTATCTTAATTATGTCGCAATACAGTGTTTTCCTATTGAGAAATAATTTTCAGAATGATTCAGTACCTACTAAGAATTAATCCAGATGTTTTGTGCAAACAAACAATCCCAAACGGTTTTAGAATGCAGACGTTGTTATCATCCACAAACGACAGTGATATGTGGCAACATAAATAGATACATAATACTATACCTACCTACATAATATTGCGAAATTATTTCAATCAGGAAGGTATCGACTGATCTCGTCCACGTAACGTCACTATCATAAATAAACTCATAACTAATCAAAATATTGTGATTCACTTGAAGATAGCGGCAGCACATTTTCAGCGGTCATTTTCAGCACATTTATCTATATAAAAAATATTATGTATTAATATGTAACATTACGAGTAATAATCCCCACAGGGAGAGGCAGACATGCTAACTGAATGTAAGACTATTCTTCACCAGTAGTCTTTAAATGTTTCTTGCCATTCATTAGGCGCGATTACAGACGTTTAGTGCTGAAAAGCTTTGCGATCGATTACTACAAGATCCGATAATCGAACCTAACCCAAAGACTCTTTGCTAGCCCTTGCCTTGCTCTAAGATATTTGGATACTTATAATAACTTTAACTTTATTCAAACGCTGCGTTTAAAAATAACGTATTGACTTTTAAAAGATAACAGAAATGGGAATCAGAATGAGTCTCCAATGTGTCTATTCTCGCTGTTCCAAACAAAAGATCACCTAAATAATTAGAGAAAAATACCGGATGAAAAAATGCGGCACAGGCCTCTAAATAGAATACAAAACTTTGTAATAAGTGCTGCTCATAACAGCATTTTCCGAAATCATGAGCGTAATATTCCTAGACAATAAAATAATAAACTACTTAACGTTGTGGTCTAGGTAATTGAATGATATTAAGTCTATTTGTTGCTCTATAAGTCAGCAATCAGCCTAGTTGCTATCTGTTACTGTGTTAACAAGTAAAAGTAGGTAATGTTATTTGAAGCGCGTGAAGATATATCCAACAGTTTATTTAATAACATCTTATCTGTAATCCTGTAATAATCTCAGTTGCTTAATATTTTGTCTATTGTCTGTGAAAACACATTACGATATTATGTAAGGAGATTCTATAAGTAACTGCTCGTTCTACAGGAGCCTAGAAGACCTTTTAATAAAGCGAACCAAGCAATTGATATGAGGTTTGGATTCCACATACTATCAAGTATGAAGTACACGTTATTAAGAAACACTATTGCTATGTATATTTTAAAGGAAAGGTACAGTACGAACGATGTTCAAAACGTTAAACCTTAGACAAATGTTATTAATATTCGTCCAAAATTTTAATGTTTGACGACCACGTACGACCACGACCTTGTAATGGAGAAGTCCATCTCAAGGTTAGGAAAAAATCAATTACCTAACTCTAAATTGGAAAGTCAAAGCATTTATTCCATTTTGGTACTTTTGAAATGTCAACAAATACAAAATAAATATTAGTCTGTCAGTCTGAAAGTCAGTGAAGCTAGGTGCTCGTTCCAAAATGTACGTATATATGTGAAAACAATGCAAAGACATGCTTGACGCATGTATAATGCGTCAAATGGGCCGGCTGGACCGGAGTGATACCACGGCCTCACAGAAAAAAGACGTGAAACAACGCTTGCGTTGTGTTTCGTCGTGTGAGTGAGGTTACCGGAGGCCCATTCATCCACAATCCTCAAATTCCTAATTCCCAAAAGGCCGGTAACGCACTTGTAACGCCTCTGGTTTTTCGGGTGTCCATGGGCGACGCCGATTGCTTACCATCAGGTGATCCGTCTGACCGTATAACGACTTTTCCTATAAAAAAAAGAAAAAGGCTTTGTTTCAATAAAGAAAGAAATGCTCGATGCCATAAGGAAACTAGATTATCTAAATTAGAAGGAAAGTATTAAATGGTTTACGCGTTTATTGAATCTACATGTAGTATTTAAGTAGTATATTCTTTGATTAAACTTAATGTCTTTATTAAACTGAACTGTTCTGAACCATGAAAGAGTTTAATAAAATTATCAGGACAATTTGTACGATATAACTTTGATCGCCTTATATACGCCTTATATAACTAAGATACGACGTGAGTTAATAAATATTAACTAAGTGATTTATTCATCCATTACTTACCACAGAAAGCCAGAAACCTTATATCTGCTTTCTTAGACAATAAAGACCAGTTATAATGTGTTTTTACATAACGATATAGCATGCCTTTGTCAAACAGGTTTAAATCATATTTGTTTAGCACAATTTTTATGTTAACATTTCTACAAAAAAATCTGAAATATGATTAGATCCTAAAGCAAGCAATTCTAACATTGAAATAAGTACGTTAGTAATAGTACCTAAACCTATTGCATATGTGCATATTAATTTATCTACTTAGGTACCATCAGTGGTTTATTCTACAATAGGAAAAACAGCATGCCGAACTTTTGACCAGTTGCATTTAATACAATTTGGTATTTCCCTCGGTAAAAAATAATTTTCTTGGTATTTCTTTGAGAGTTTGAATCAAAATGAGAAAAAAATCGTCCCAGTGAATTAGCAACCTGAAGTGGTAGTGAGGTGAGGGATAATAGAGTCAAAAGGTTTTCAAATGGAGGCATTCAATTGGAAGCCCAAGGAAGGAAGAAGATCTGGAAGAAGTCTCTATATTCAGCAGAGAATGTCTTGTGGCTGATATGATAATGATAAATTATTTGGATATTTTAATGCATTCATATTATCTACTTTGCAACTTTATCATTTTAATTTCGTAATTTTTTTAGTTTTAAAAGAAATAAGTATGATATTTTATGAGATAACTAGGGACGGGACTAGAATTCGACTTTAGTGATACTACAACCTTTATAGAAAACTGTCGTGAAACAACAAAATTTTTGCTGATTGTTACCGGAGAACTAATTCTTTGACGGAAGGGGTCTTCTGAAAGGCCAACAAATTTAATCTAAAATTTGGTCCAGCACTTGGCAACAAATGTGTGGAGTCATAATGACAAACATGTGAGATGAATGGGACACAAACATGCTTGCCTAATACATTTACGCGATAGGTCTCAATCTTGCAAACACCTAATCTGTTTGATATCCCACACTCTGTGTGTGAATGATGTCTTTACGAATTCTTATCTTAAGGAAATGTTGTTTGTATATCTTAGTATATTGACAAGATACGACGCGAGTTATTTAACGACACGACAAATGGGTTCATTAAAACATTTTATACTTTCAGATGTCTTATCTATGTATGTAACTGTTAAATCGGCATGACTTAACAGTTTCTGTGTAATCACTATTTTTTCTGCCACAATCTTCTTTACTGTAGGTTAGGAGACAGTTATTATTACTTAATTTGCGAATAAATGTGCTGCGTAACGGATGCTGTTCAATTTTGAGAAAATATGCACTTGCACAGCCGATGCTTGAGTCTGATTTTCTTTATTCTGTGGGTAGAGACTAACAATACAGATTGTTATCAAAAACTAAAAACTTTTTAAAAATCTAGATACTACAGAAACCTTCCGATCTGGGAATCGAAACCGAAATAAATACCGGGCCGTTTTATACATTTTGTGAAAATGGCATAATTCGCACATTTATTTATCAGTTTCTAGGTACTATTTCCCCGCAATGCCGCGGCGATGAAAAATCGCTTAAAAATTTAATTGAATTGCAAAAAGGGAATATAATATAGTACAACGCCCGTATTTTACCATATCCCACGAGTTAAATCCCAATGGGGATCAAAACAAGGAAGGAAACTCGAGCTCACTATTATGCAATGATAATATTATCTAGAAACTTTGTTTACATACAAATGTTGTACAACTGTGTCGATGTGTTGTGCAATCGAGGGTTTTATGTTTTTATATTTAAAACATCCATATTCCAAATATAAAACGTTGCATCATATAGTCACAGACTTAGGTACTTCTTATCTTTTATTTTCCGAACAAGTAGGGGTAAGTATGAATTTGTTAGTCTATTATACCTCTAAAGTAGAACGCGCCAATTTTAAATCCCGCACATAGATGCCTGTACTGTCGCAATTTAAAAGCTTTACATTGCTTGTGAATTTATTTTTAGTGAGAAACCCAATGATGTGTCTTACCCCAGGGTCTAACCCAACAGTGAGGCTTACAATCCATTATAGGATCAGAGAAGACAAATGTACCTCTTTGCTGAAAAATGTAAGCTCATCGTGGTTAGTGTCAGCAGTTTTCAGGAAAATCCTTGCGCCTGTGGTATTTCCTAGATTGAATAGTTAAGACTAAACAAACACGTGTAGCCATAATCTACATATACAAATATAATTGAAGTGCTTTCAACGGTGCGCGTCGTTCTTATTGTTGCTGATAACAGGAGGGTTTAACGAATATATAAATACATGTGCCCATTATGCGCCAACATCAGTTGTCATTTATTTGGTGCCACGGTCCCGTGTGCAACCAGTTTCTGACTTTTATTTAATTAAAGTGACTGTAAAACTTACCTGCATAAACAAAGCACAAATCACCGCAATGGGATTTAGGAAAAAGAAATCTGAGTGAGTTTAGATCGTATTTTTTTTGCTGAGCGAACTTTATTGATTTTGTTATTTAATTTAATTTTTGTACATAAATAAAAAGTTAAATTTCTGTACATAAATAAAAAAATATATTGTAGTATAACTAATATACAATGCTACAGTTAACACTTATAAAAAAAAGCATTTCTTATACTTTCCCGGAATTTAAATTAGACTCTTAACAATAATATATCAGTAAACCTTATTATTATTTTACTTAATTGATTTATATATTGATTTCAGTTCTATGTTGGCCCAATTTTACTCTTTTGTATTTTTGCGAACTTTAAATTTTAATTAAATAGGGTGTATGTTCATATATATAAGATACTCATGTTATTGCTATGTAGAGCGAAATTGAGTGCAATATTAAAGCCACACGTGTTGGTTTATCTTGCAGTTACATAGCCAGATGATATTATTTTAAGTATCCCACTTGAAACTTAAACCACGTGACTACATACTTAACCATAGTTCTAATATAAAATGTTTTAGTTCTAGTCATACCTACGTACATGTACGAACATAAAAAATAAACTATACCTAAGTCTTGCTTCTTATTTAATGAATTACCTAATGTATAACCCTAATCTAAGTTTCCATGCCTATAAAAAGTACTTTTAAACACCAAACTTAAAGTATTTATTATTCTAATACTAACTATTCGTGGTCTAATCCTGTGTCATAAATTTTACATTCCATATTTTATTTATTTAATTTGAATAACCATGTCTCGTCCAATCACGAGAATGTAAGGGGAGGTGAGGTGAGGGCAATTAAGAAGTTGTCTTTGTATTCTCCATGGAAATTCACCCATGGATATGGATAGGAGCAACTCTTTGTGTGATCCACAAATTGTTGTTCCGGGTCTGGGTGTCATGTGTATGAGAACCTGTATGTTTGTAAACGCACCCATGACATAGGAGAACATCCTAGTATGGTGCAATGTTTAAAAAAAAACAAAAGAAAATCATGTTCAGGTACCTACCTTATAACATTTTTACCAAACTGGAATTAATTGTCATTAAATTAATTGGTTTTTAATTGTAATCCTCATTAAACAAAAATGTATTAGCGTATCAGGTATGATGTAGGTACTTTAGAAATAGTAGAACCTATACTAAAAATAGAATTCCGGTAGCGGATAATATAGGTCCCAGGAACAAATTGTTAGTCACTAATATAAGAACAGTTTAGCACATAATGAAACATATTTAAATAATGCCATGAAGATTTACTATTCGTGGGAAAAACTCAATTCGTTGATGGTTACTCAATATGAATGTGTTCAGCACTGACTGATATATCCATTTGTGAAACCCTGCCATTGAGTGGACTCGAAATATTAAATAATGCAAACGAAATACAAACAACATCCATGATTTTCTCCATACACGATAATTATATAGCCTCAGTCATATCTAAACGGATGCAAACTGAATATTTTTAGGAAAAAACTAAAGTAAATATCTCCTTGAAAAATAACATTTGCATAGATATTATTTAAGAAATCTTAGCACTTGCTACGCCGCGTCTACAATGCTACGAGCATTGATTATATTATCTACGCGGTTTATGACCACGTATCTATGAATTGAGACAGGTCAGTCTTAGTGTTTAATTTCATACTTAGTTATAAAACTCTTGGTTTTTTTGCGTATTTCTGCTTTAATTCATACATTTTAGTGTTAATTTTACTATTGCTGGTAATATACTTAAATGGGCGTTCAAATTACAACTATTATCTATTTACGCACTGCAATCTACAAAAATCTGATGATTTCTTGGAATTGAAAGCCATTTCCATAATTTTGTTTTTAGAATGATATATTTCGGTATTTTTAAATTAAGGATTATTCTTTTATGATTCACGAGACAAGTCCAGTAGGTAGTTACGAGGAAAAAGGTACCAATAAATATAGGTCTGAAACTCCGGGTAAAACCCTCACACTAAGAAAATACTTAACAGGTAAAAACATAGTGAAGAAAACAGTATAAAAATCCACTAAAACACTAACAGGAAAGAAAACGTAATACAATGCCTGTCACAACAGATACATACTTTATAGGTACATGATGGGATGCGATAATTGAGATCTCGTTCATGACCAACATTTATCGAATAATTTTATATATAACTTTGTAACACTAGCTTTTGCCGGCAACTTTATGAAAACGCAACTGTTGCCTATTACAGATTAGAAAATACTTACTCTTTCATGACTATAGGTCCTAAAGTACCTATATAGGCATGAAAGGTATCAAAATTCTACACATCTTTAAAGATGCCATCTCTAGTACGACGTATATGCAATTTACAAATTCATAAAATATAGTAAATTATTTTAATTATTTCGGCTCGTTGGCCGAGTGGTCGCAAGTGCGACTACAGTGCGACGCCAAGGAGTTTCGGGTTCTTTTCCCGAGCGGTTCAAAGTACTACTGGGTTTTTTAAAAAAAATCAGTACTACTTACCACGGAGTCTGGAATTGTCGAATATATCTTTATGGCAATGGCAATAGGCTCACCCCATATTACATGGGACTCTTAACATAAATAGTGAAGATTGGGTGTTACATTGTACAGTGGCATTATTATAGGTGCCGTCATGTGCACCTCCGCCTACCCCTTCGGGGATAAAAGGTGGGATATTATGTATATACGTGATAACTGAGCAAGTTTTGATTTATTTAATTAACATGTTATGGCGTGTAAACTCTAGTACCTACTTTAACTCGTTAATAGCCAACATCTAGCGTCAGTACTTAATAGCGACATTACAATTGGTCATTTTACTAGTAGTAAGTAGTATATGACCAAAAAATTATGAATGTTGTCTATAAACCTCATATCATCTATTGATAGCGTTTTTATCTTTAATTTCAGCCCAACGCCAGAAAATGAACTGAACATATCCTTCATAGGCATTGTAAGTACCTTTTTGTTTATATTTTTATGACTAAACATTAAACACATAATGGAATAACACATTTGGCGTTCCCTAGTCTCTGCCTACCCCTATGGGAGACAGGCGTGAAGATATGTATGTATGTATGTATTGACTGAATCTAAAATTATTTATTAGGTACGTAGTTACCTACTCTTATTACTGTGCCTGACCTTTCTCGAAAAGAAGGCGCAACGTAATACCACATGCATATGACATAACCATATTTATGCTTAGTCCACAAAATACACTATTCCAGCTAAGTATCAAGTAAGAATTCACTAATAAATTACATCAGCAAGCAAATATTACTTACGCCTCATAACTAATTAATGGAAAATTAATGCAGACATGTTTATTTTGTTGCAGTTTCGATATGGAACCTTCCTTGAGATCACAGCGACATTCCTGGGTATTTTCATAAGTATGATAAGTGGCGGAGGTATAGCATACAACTTGATACAAGTTGGTGAACTGAGCACTGCATTTGTGGAACGCACCAGTTTTCAAGACCAGCCTAGCAGTAATATGCCACTTCTGTCGATTTTCGGAGGTGGGAAAAGACTGTGAGTAATATTCAGTAAGATGTAAACAATTTGATAAAGTCATTGCACTTATCTACTCTACAAAATCGGGATCGACCTAAAACTGCAATGCATCAGGCAAATGTAAAATTAGAAAACTAAAGTTAAACATGAACAATATTGTTTTTGCAGGAACAATGCAACTCACGAGGAGAATATGGAAGCTCTGTTACAAGATGCTACGGCTATGCTGATAGGGGCGTTTGTATCAGTGGGTATATCTCTGCTGTGCTGCGCTGTCTCCGTCGCTTTCATCAGCTGGAGTGCACTGAGACAGGTACATACCTTATCTTAAAAACAAATAATAATGCCGTTTTTGGAAACCAGTTACCCCCGGTTTCCTACTCGACCCAACCGCAATAGCCTTGCATGGAACAGTAAAATTACCATCTTCATGTCACTTGAAAAAAATATTGTTTTCTTAACTAAATAAAATCCTCAACATGTAAAATGTAAAATAATATCATGACAAGATATTTAAGTGTAACTCCTTAACAAATGGAAAGTCATTGCAATGAACATGGACTGAAGAGCTCTCAGTCTACTGCCGGGCGGCGCTTAAAATCAAATATAGCAATAATATCATATCTATTATCTAGATGTCTGAAGTTCACTCACTTATTCTAATTGTTAATCTCCATACTATAGTTATGGAATGCGGATAGGTCCTTTTGAATGCAGAAGTAAGATACTAAGAAACAAATAGCTACGTGATAATTAATATCACTCACTATTAGTTATCATTTTTAACCGACTTTCCATTTTGGAAACACCTAGGTCCTCAATTCGGTCGGTATTATTTTTTATGTATTTATACCGATTACGCGGACGTTGTTGAATCGAAATCCAACAATACAACAATTTTCTTTATGTACACAGATCATGACAATACGCATGCGATTTCTGGAGGCAGTTCTCCGACAGGACATGGCCTGGTTTGACACGGACAATGAGTTCAACTTGGCATCGAAAATGTCTGAGTGAGTTTCTTGTTACATTCATATTTATAACGATTTACTTTTTTTGTATTAGAGAGAAACCTTAATAAGGTCCCTAGTTTTATGGGGGAAAAGACTGGGGTGTATGGGAATTTCATCAACACCTGCAAAAGTCACAGGATATTATCAATAGATAAACCTCGAAACCACAACTTTGTTACAACAAAAATGACAAAATCGAACTATGTACAAGTTAATTTGCTCTGTTAATGAATCTTTGGCAATCTTTTACAGAAATTTGATGAAACTGAAAGATGGTATGAGCGAGAAGTTAGCGGTTGTTGGTAACTTGTTAGGAACTTCGGTAATCAGCATCGCAGTAGCTATTCCACTGGGCTGGGAGCTGGCACTCGCCTGCATCACTGTCATGCCATTCTCCGTAGCGGCCTCTGTCTACCTTACCAATGTAAGTTACACAAAAGACTATATAACCGCTCTATAAAGATACCTAAGATATATCTATAAGTATATCTAAAACCACGCAAATTTATTACGACTTCTTATCTATAAACCTACTTAGGTCTTAATTGCAACTAAACGATTATTTTATCAGATTGGATCTTAAACACTCGAGAGGTTTAAGTAAGATTATATTACTTTGTTACAGTATCAAACGAAATCATCGGCACGTGAATTGGAGTCTTACAGTCAAGCAGGGAAGCATGCTGAAGAGATACTTAAGTCGATAAAGACAGTTGTGGCCTTCGCTGGAGAAGAGAAAGAAGTTAGGAAGTAAGAAATGTTCTATTTGGTTACATACAAGTTCCTGGTGATGGCTTTCTAGACTTTCGGACTTTTCATTCTAAATGGGCATCCAACGGAGGCTCTTCTTCAGGCCAATTTTTAGTTCGGCGCTTATTCATTTTGCCTATTTCTTCCTTTAATTCGTTATATTACAAACAACCATACGTTTTTATAGTAAGAACGTAGTGTTGATAAGCAACGATAACATTATTATCTATGAGATAATTTCCGCATACACTTCCATACACATAAATGTTTTATCAAAACTTAAAATTGACAATTACATAAACAGAATTATCATGATCAATATTTAAACAAAAGCGTTCGGATTTTACACTACCAATTACTTAATTATTATTTAGTTTTGATTAAACAATATTACGTTCCACTCCCTTTTCTCTTTAAGAAGGTGTAGATATCTCTAACAAATGCAGGGATAAAAAGAAGGCTCTCAATACGCTGTCATAAATGCTGTCGCCATACTTTGCAGCCGATGATGACCATTTCAATTGGCGGAGGTGATTGGTAACACATAATGCCGATTTAACGTTATCGCCTATTCCTAAATTTTGTATCCAATAACAGCCTATAATGGTTGTTACCATCTCGGATCCGGCGAGAATATCCGATGCATTTTTGAATATTTTACAAATGTTCTCTTCAGATACCGCACTTTACTGGAACCAGCAGAGAAGTATGGACGCAAACGAGGCATCTACACAGGTGTCGGCAACGGGTTCAACTGGGTGCTCACGTACTGTCTCAACGCCATCGGTCTCGTGTACGGCATCAGGCTGGTCTTGGAGGATCGAGACAAGTCTGAAGAAGAACGCAGATATGTCGTCGGTGTAGTTTTCAGCGTAAGTAGAATTTGGCATTTGGATTTCATGAATTCCTAGATAGGTGTTTTACCAACTTTAACTACTCTGTACTTTTAAGTACAGAGTACTTAGTATGAGTGGAATGATACAGAATATAGCGACTAGATTGTATTTTATACATTATGCATTTTCAATTTCTTCAGGTGCTATTCAACGTTTATATGGCGACACAATCGATCACTCTTTGCGTACCACACTTTGAAGTGTTTGCCGCAGCTCGAGGAGCTGCTGCCAGTATCTACTACCTGTTGGAGCGAGAACCAGCGATAGACAGTCTCAGCACACAGGGTATATCCCCTCGTCGAGTGGTCGGAAACATATCTTTCGAAGATATTCACTTCAATTATCCTTCAAGACCTGATGTCAAGGTATATCAAATTGTATTATACTAATACTATAGTCGTCAGTATAATATAAGTAAGTATATCGAGTTAACTTTATTTATTCATTTGTTCATCAGGTTCTAAAAGGTTTCTCCCTCCACATCAAAGCAGGAGAATGTGTAGCTCTAGTTGGATCCTCAGGCTGTGGAAAGTCAACTATATTACAGTTGTTACAACGACTGTATGATCCCCAGTCTGGGTCAGTCAAGCTGGATGGAAAAGAATTAAGAAATCTGAACTTAGGATGGCTGCGATCATCACTAGGTTCGTTTATGATATGATACGTATTAAAACATGATCTAAAGGAATATAACCCTTGATGTGTGGTCTATTTCTAGCATTTACATTTTTGCAGGTGTCGTAGGTCAGGAACCTGTACTGTTTCACGGAACTATATTCGAGAACATCGCTATCGCTTGTCCTGAAGCCACTTTACCAGAAGTACAAAGAGTAGCAGCCATGGCTTACGCACATGAGTTTATCACAAACTTACCGAAGGTTTGTAATGTTATAATATATGTTTATCACTGACACAGACACTGTCTTCGCATTTTAGCGTTTTCTAATGACAAGTTGTATTGCAGGGTTATGATACAGTGATAGGAGAGCGCGGTGCTTCTCTATCAGGAGGTCAAAAGCAGCGCATCGCCATAGCTCGGTCGCTGCTGCGGGAGCCGGCTGTGCTGCTACTGGATGAGGCCACCTCCGCACTCGACCCTCACTCTGAACGTAAGGTTCAGGCTGCGTTGGACCGTGCCAGTGCTGGAAGGACAACTATTATGGTCTCGCACAGGTACCTACTTGCATACATTAAGCATGAAATAGAAACTTTCGGATACTCAATTTATAAGATACTGATTAGTCAGCAGAACTTGCGTTAGACCAGTTTTATAAGAGCTACTATTGAGTTCGTGGGGAACTATTCAAGCAGTAAGTTGCTAGGCATTTCACTTAACTGGATTCATTATAAAAAAGCCCATGTTAAGTATCAAATCTATAATTACAGATTGTCGACAATACTGAATGCCAGTCGTATAATTTGCATGGATCAAGGGGTTATAGTAGAGCAGGGAACCCATGAAGAACTCATGAAAAGTAAAGGTAAGTTATCATTATGTATTTAGTGATTGTCTTTACAGGGTTTAAAAATTATGTTTACTTTTACCTTGTCATTCAATACAGGTTTCTACTACAAGTTGGTAACGACGAATAAACAGAAAGGAGAGCCTGAGGAAGCCACTGAATCTTTGCCAGAGTTATTGGAAGAAGAAAATGAGTCTGCTGTTAATAATCCAGTGGTGCGAAGCGAAACTAAGAAAAATAGACCAAGAATGAGCAAACAGAATTCAGTAATAGGTAAGTTATCGAATTATAATCTATTTTATTCAGTCAATGCTGCTCAGCACAATTGGGTTCATGATTATCCGAGGTACTGTTAATTACATTACTTTCATTCATACTATACTCGGCAGAATCGTTCGAATGGATGCAAACTCCACGAGGATCAGTCACGTCAGCCGTGTCGCTGGGTTATCAAAGTTTCCTACACAATCAAGATATCGATAAAGATGACAGTAATGATGAGGTATGTATGAACACAGGAATTACATTGATTTGCAGTTTAATAATTTGGTTAATTAAATTATTTTAATTTGCAGGAAATCGTACCATTAAGCGGGTGGGATATTTTAAAACTAAATGCTCCAGAGTGGGTTTACATTACGATTGGATCTGTCGCAGCATTCCTACAAGGAGCATGCTTCCCAGCATTTGCGTTACTTTTCGGTTTCACTAGCGGCGTAAGTAACTTACAGATTAAACAATTACTGATTAATGCTTGTTCTCGTTTACTTATCAATAGGTATAAATGATTTCCTGTTTTACAGATTTTTATACTGACGGATCGCGATGAGCTTATATCCTTGGGCGACATGTATGCAGGCCTTTTCGTTGTGGTAGCAGCCATTGCTGGAGTGTCTATGTGTCTCCAGAGCTCTACTTATACCACCGCTGGTTTGAAAATGACTACCAGACTTCGGGAGTTGTATTTCAACGCCTTACTTAGTCAGGTAAATACATACATAAACTCCTGAATAATGAAATAATAGCAGGGAGTCGGCGCACCTATTAAATTACCCACATTCAGTTTATTATACCCATATTTATCGAATATTTCAATAATACTTCCTTTACTAGACTTGGTATACACAGCTTGGCGCTCAAAATCAAACTAGAAATTTATGAAAGATTTCAATTAATTTCAGGAAATAGGATACTATGACAGAGAAGCTAATACAGTTGGAGCACTTTGTGCGAGGCTCAGTGGAGACGCTGCAGAGGTGCAGGGAGCTACTGGTTTGAGGATTGGACTCATCCTGCAGGGCGTCAGCTCTGTAGTTCTTGGAGTCTTGATGGGATTGAGTTTCGATTGGAAACTGACTCTTGTTGCCACTGCATTTTTACCTATTGTTAGTAGATACTTCGCTTATTTGGTCGTAGTAATTTAAAATACGTAAATATTTTCTTAAAGTTAATATTGTTCCGTATGGCAGATGATAGGCAGTATCTGGCTAGAAGGAATGATGTCACGAAAATCTCAGGAAGACGAGAGAGATGCCATGGAGTCTGCGACTGGAGTAGCCACTGAAGCAATAGTTAGCATCAAAACTGTGCAAAGTTTAGGTAAGCGAAAAGTTTAGATAAATATAATTCTTCAGCGTAATTTGATTGCTCTATTGGTATTTTTGGAATTTTAATAAAATTATTTTTCTTTCAGGCATAGAACCAGTGTTTCTGGACAAGTTCCAGGAGTCGTTGACGGTAGCTTGCAGAGCGGTGGCACAGAAGTCAAGATGGCGGGGTGTGGTCCTGGGTATTGGTATTTACGCACCTTTGATTGCGTTCTGCTGTGCGATCATGTATGGCGCTTATCTCGTTTCCAAAGGGGAATTGGAATACAAAATAGTGCTCTTGTAAGTATTCCATTAAAAGGAAGCATTTAATTTTCACACAAATAAATCATTTTGTAGTTTTGTTGTTGTTGATTGTGATGTTTGCTTGCAAGTCTAAAATCTACGCTGACAGTAGAGGTAGTTGTATTTTCTGACCACATTGTGACTCGCTAAAGATACAAAGAGTAGATTTTGAAATTACGTCAAATTATCCGTGGACTAGATTAAGCGGACCTTAATAAGTAGGTATCCAATAGACCCTTAAATTATTTTAAATCTTCCACAGAGTAACAGAAAGTGTAATGTTCGGAGCGTACATGCTTGGTCAAACACTAGTATATGCACCAAGTTTCCACGCCGCTAAGGTTTCGGCAGCCAGGATCATAGGATTGATCCAAAGACAGCCTCTGGTTAGAACAGAAGATGGTGTCACTGACAAAAAAGATTGGGTGAGAATAACTGATGCCTAGCTATCTACTATAGCCGGAGATCGAACTCGGAAGTCTTACTTGTTCTATCTATTTCTTTTTGTAGAGCGCTACCGGTAACTTCAGTATAAAAGAAGTCGAATTTAGCTATCCTACAAGAAAACATCATAAGGTACTGAGAGGAATCGATTTACATGTGGATGCTGGCAAAACCGTAGCGCTAGTGGGTCCCTCTGGCTGTGGCAAGTCGACTGTATTACAACTGTTACAAAGATTCTACGACCCTGACTCCGGAAGAATAGTAAGTTACCTAAAAACTATTTTCAATTTCGTAGGTACCTACATCGTGTCAATGGTATCTAAAATATTATTGTGGGGGGACGGGATGTATGACAAGTGCACGGATCAATAGTCCGTGGAGAATTATTAAGCAAAATTAAAAAAAAAACGTAATGTGGTATAGGTACTAACTAGGTACAAAAAGGTTTGTAACAGCTAGCAAACAAAACAGTACTTTTTGGAAAGAATGACAGTTACAAATTTAAATGGCATTATTTTGACACAATATTTTGTCAAAGAAATGTACCGAAACCGGTATAGCAACGCTGAATTGTTTTAATTTAGATTCTGATATTTATCAAGACATTTCTATAAAACGTTACCTATATTTGAAAGGGTACTCTATAACAGATACACTAGAATATTCATAAAAATGGGACAATTAATAGGCACTGCGGCTACCATGCATTTGGATTTAAAGATGGATCAGACACCAACGTTCCCGAACAACGTAGGGTTCAAAACCAAAAGACAAATAAGGGCAGGAGGCGCCAGTAGAGATCAGCTAATTTCTGCCAAAATTCCACTCAAATATCATGACTATTGTAGCGATCGTTTACTGCAATACCAAGTGTGTCGTTACAAATTCTATCCGTTTGTGTTCCGTTGTCACCACGAAAGACATGCTTACCTTCAATGTGAACAAGAAGACTACGTGATTAGAATGAAAGAGTTTGAAAGAGAACGCAGATTACGAGAGAGAGAAATTAGAGTTAAAAAGGCTAAGAAAGAGTGTTAATCTCAAATACAATTTGTACTTTCGTAACTTTTTAATTTCTATGTAAATTATATTATCTATCTTTATACTTCGATAGTATAGATTGCTCTTATTAAATGGATAATTTAATTTACTTCTGTTTGTTTGTTTCTTACTTCTTATTTAAGAAATTTTAATATTTCATTAAGTAAGTAACTACCATGCCATGGTAACTAGCGTAACTTACCCAGGTAAGTACCTACTCTAAGTACTTACCTCTAATTTACAATACCTACTTTATTTCTTTATATACCTACGCTCGCATATAAATAAATAAGAAATAAATAATTTTAGAATATTTAGTTATCTGGATCTACAGTTGTCTAGATAAACATCCGTTATATCTGCACAGGAATTAGATGGACTTGATAACCGCTCATCGCTGACGCTGCCCCGGCTACGTCGTCAACTGGGCGTAGTGCAGCAAGAACCCGTACTCTTTGACCGCACGCTCGCTGAGAACATCGCTTATGGAGACAACACCAGGAAGGTCACCATGCATGAAATCATCGAAGCCGCGAAAGCTGCAAATATACACACCTTCATCACTTCCTTGCCCAAGGTATGCCAAAGAATTTTATCAGTCACATTTTAAAATTGTCCATGTCATTTGCAAACATACAAAACACTGTGAGAGCTGATCTCGAGAACTCTATCAAAACAAACACAATTTATTAAAGTGCAACTTTACAGTGTCCCATTTTCCACAGGGTTATGACACAAACCTAGGGTCTGGCGGAGCGCAGCTGTCTGGCGGTCAGAAGCAGCGAGTGTGCATTGCGCGCGCGCTCATCCGTTCGCCGCGACTCTTGTTACTTGATGAAGCTACTTCTGCGCTAGACGCGAATAGTGAACGGGTAAATAAAATCCTTTTTATGTCTGGCTGTCTCAACAACTGCACTCAGCAGATTTATTAATTCTTAACAATTTGGTAATCGCAGGTAGTATCAGAAGCACTAGAAAAAGCAGCTGAGGGTCGAACGTGTGTAACAATCGCTCACCGTCTCACTACCATAAAAGATGCAGATCTAATCTGTGTCCTGGATAAAGGTATTTACCCACTTATATGTATTATTTAATAAACACTATGAATTAACGTCACAGGCAGACTCATTGACGTTTTTTACAAATAACGTCGATGCCAGATGAATGGCATTTTTGATGACAAGTCAAGGAGCCTGATCGAGGCTGGAAACAGCGTAACGGGAGCAAGTGCGTGAGCCGTCGCGGGCTTACTGGCTGTCGTTCTTATTTTGCAAGTTATGGTCGGATGCCCGTCACGGGCGTCTCCTTAAAACGCAGTTTTGACCCTGATATAACTTTTATTTGATCTAATTTTTTCCAGGTAAAATTGTGGAGCGTGGTAATCATGCAGATTTACTGAAGTTAAAAGGCCACTACTGGCGAATGTGCAGAGGGCAGGAAGCTCCGTGAATGAGTAGAAAGAAGTATTTTTAAGTGTTTTGAAAACGAGAGTCTGGGGCAGTATTCTGCGAAGAGCGTAGCCTGAACACGTTAGGGCCAAATTCCGTCTTATTTACTCGTATAAGTTTGTGTAAAAATTATTATTAAGAGTTACAAGGGAGCTAAACCAATATTTATGTTACCTAACATTCTAGCCGTGTAAGTTTTTGTTATTTATACATTGTAGGTTGTGAAATAAAAAAAGAATGTTTATATTACATATTTCGTTTATTTATTTTGAATATTTTCAAAAAGTCATCTCTCCACAAATGTGCTAATCATCTAACTCACAATATCACTTCACGATGCTTTTCTTTTTGGCGATACCCTGTAACTTTCTAAATGTAGTACAGTTCTGTCATTGTTAAAAAGCTTAGGCAAAAAAGAGCTGACGACAGAGACTGAGCAGTGTTGTGTGGCATTTTGTTTACACGAGCTGTTACTAGCGGAGCTGCGGGCATGTTTCCACTGATTTATTTCTCTATAAACTTTATGTTCGAAAATATCTTTCACAGATATTTACCTGTAGTCTTTGTTTTTACCTGTTTTATGAGTCTGTTTCTATTAGAAGTTTTAGCATCACAACACCGCATTTCCCTCAATCATTCGCATGTATACGATATGACTTGTCCTATACATGCGGACGATTATATTTGTTGGTACAAAAATATATACACTAACGTATATTTTACATACTAATGAGAAATAATATCAAACATTAATGTTACGAGCGATTCTTCCGAAAATTGCTATCTTTATATCAATTTGATATTAAAACAATGGTTACTTCTATAATTTGACACCGAATGCTGTGAACTGGTTTTGCAGTCTACAAGTTAAATTACATCTTAGAACTCAATAGAATAGTGAACGCAATACGACAATAACTGAATGAAAAATTTCCGAAGAATCACTCTCGTAAATGAACAGTGTGTACACTGATTAAGTGAAACATAAATTCAAATATAAGTGCATACATGGATATGTACGAAGTTAAGGTTTACTTGTTATACTTATGAACAACTTGTTATCTCTTCACTACATCCACTTATTCAATAATTACGTGATTAAGATGATTAGACCGCACGATGTATGACACATATCCATATACATGTTATAGAAAACAGTATCACATAGCTTTGGGCCGGGGTCGTTCACCCCGGCCTGCAGCGACAAGATTACCATCTGTTACACTAACTGATACAACAAAACAACAATAACTTTGATATAATGTGCTATTAACTAAGAACGCGGAACGAAATAAAATATATCTTGCTTGTTGCCTTCTCTTCCCCAACATACACTTCAACAATCCCTTTAAATATTTCATATAATTTTGATTTTGATATTTAATTTTAACCTATACCTAGGTTTTCTGCCTGCATTCTATATTTATGCTATTCTTAACACATTTCTATAAATTTTATTATAATTTTGTTGCGATGGGTAAATTACTTCTTTCATAACATATCTTAAATATTTAAACATTTATAAAAACCAGAACATAAGCAAAATGCTTCTGTAAATAAACTTTGAAAGATGACACAATACATATCTTTTATAATTTCAGTCAAAATAAAATAATTAACAAATAAAACATTACATAACTGACTAAAGCCAATTTTCTATAAATTCCCATTATAAACAATAATAAAACAAGATTCAAGTGTATATAATGTATAAATAAATGGTAGAAATAATGAATTTGTTTGACTAAACATTTGCCAATGGCGTTAGGGCCAACAAACATAATTGTATGCTAACTTACCAACATTCCGTACCTAACTAAAATATTAACCAATATAAAATATATAAAATTTAATGGAAACTTAAACAAGAACGTAATGTCTGTACGTACAAGACGTACATCAATGGTACAATCACGGGAACTAAGACTGCCATATCAATATTTAATAATTACGGTAGTACAAGCAATTACAAAAGCCAGCTACAAGTATGGGAAGTTTTTTAATGAATCGAAACGCGAACGAACAATATTAACGAAGATTATTAAATTCAAATTGTTATTGTTGTTTCATTTCACCAATCCCACCTTTTACTTAACTTGATTTTATCAAATTCTTGTCTTTAGCAGCTTTTGTAATTATTTGTATTAAGAAACATACACCCAAAGTTACTCTACTGACATATACTTACAATTACTAACTAATACTAAAGTATCTGTACATACATTATAGTCATTTAATGTATCTGCATGACATAAAAAGAGTTCCGCATACCGAACTACAGTGCACGGTCTAAGAATAAACGATTATTATAGAAAAGTTAGTAAAATTGCATCCGAGCAATAAGAGTAAAAAAGAAGCGCATGTGTGCACGCTGCATGCTCGTTTTTTATTCTTATAGTATAATATATAGTCATTTGCACAACCGACGTTGTCACTCAAATAGCAATAAGTTTGAACGAGTCACAATAACTACTTTCCTCCCTGATATATAAATATTTAGCCCCAGCATGAGACGCGGGCCCGCCCGTGCTCGGCTAGTGCCCGCTTCTCATCATCGCACCGCGTTCGGCATGAGGAGCTCGATAGTTTCCTCAACTTTGTACGAATCCCACGACCGCCTAACTGGCCTCTCGATTAATTTAGAATCGACATCACATCTTATGATTCATAATTTGGAAAATTAATACACTTGCTAAATAGTCCGTCGAACAAAATAATTTAACTATAATAATTTTATAAATTGTATTTAGTAAAAAGAAACGCAATGATTTCAATGCAGTCTCAATATTATGTATAGGTTACAGAATATATTATGTAGTTTAAACATAATGAACAAAGAAAAATAACAACAACAATTCTAAAACGCAAGTGCGTAAAATAAAATATTTTTCTATAAAATGTAACAAAACTATATATTGCGAATAATCGACTAAGCCAATTAATAAAATTTGTCTAACAAAGTACATAATATTTACAAAAAACGTTCAAAAAAGATTTGTCAATAAAAGAAATAAACCATTAATTGATGTTTCATAGGTCGTGAACGCGACTATCTCAGAAACAACGTAACGTAAATAATTACCTAGCCACTAAATTCAGTAACGAGATCAAAATATGTGTAAAATTATATTTTACAAAACATGTTCTTTCTGTGAAACGTCTGAAACAAATCACGGCAAATGGCACGTTGCAGATATCGAATCAAATAATATGTGGATATTAAAACATAGTAACACTTTGGTTTCTTGGTTCTGATAAAAGCTACAATACAACAGTATTAATATCTATAAAATCATCAGAAAACTGTACATTATGGATATACCTACGAGGAATTAGACCCTTTAAGACATGGTAGACAAAGAATAGAAGACTCGGGCCTTCTTTTGGACTTTGAAGATGCAAGTGAGCCTGCAGTATAGGTGCAGATTTGTCTTAACAACGTGAAAGGATAAATTAGCGAAGTCCAAATAAGACGAAATAATAAAATGTGTCCTCAAGGCAGCCAAGCTTTACAACACGTAAGTATCCGTCTACAAAATTACCGCATAACACAAAAAGGTTTCAAACAATATGTACTGAATTAAGTGCCTACTAAAGTATTTAAAATAATTACTTAACTTCAATCTTCTAGATTTTCTATTACAAGTTAAATATTTAGTTTGTTAGATATTGCACAGCCTTTTAACACAAGAAACAATTAAACAAGAAACTGTAAAATATATACATATTTATCAATGAACATGCTTCGTTGAAACGTACCATGCGCCTGAGCATAGAGTTTGTGTTTTTTACAATAACAAAGTAAAAGTAAACGTAAAACGAACCGGCTCTTGTATAATAGATTGTACACACCTGTAAATAATAATTCATGATTTGGTATAAGCGACGAGATATTGCACCGCGTCTGTTTGGAACACACGTAATGAATAATAAATTAATAGACCGAAGCTGCGCTTTTCCTACAAATAAACAAATTGGCAAGTGTACGTATGGTACGCGTTTGAACTAAATTAAAAATAATAACAAGGATCTGTGGTAAATTCGGTCGGAGCGGCTCACTGCGGCATGTGTGGGTGGTGTCCGCCGGCATGCGGGGGGTGCTGCTGCGGGTAGCCGGTGATGGCCGCCCGCGGCGTGCCTGCCTCGTAAACTATTTGTGCCGGTAAACGCTGGTTCTGTTGCATGTCTTCTGGGTTCACGTATGGGCCTTGGACCTGGTTAGTCAATACATCACATGTACCTCAATAAACTGATCGAGTCGTAACCGTAAGTCAAAAACGCGTTTTATTCTAATAAGCAAGAGATTAGATGTCATTCTGAATTATGTTTACGATATGACAATGACCAGACATCTCTAAGCACATTGCACTATTAATTATTACTCAATAGTGCAATGTTAAAAATGTAGTAATTACCTACCATTATCTATGATGCGAAAATGTTGTGAACTTGTGTGTGATTAACGTAACTACCAATTATTTGGAGTTGAAAGACAAGAAGAGCTTATGATAAAATCATATACGTCAATCATAGAAAATCTATTTTGATCCAAAGACGCTATGCTATTTGTACAGTATATCTGATAAGACTAATTTTTTTATACATAGAAACGAATGCCGATTTTCTCTGGTCATCGCACCACGTGTCTACGATTGGATCGAATTCGCTTAACTATTATCGTTAAAAATTATAACGTGTTTTGCATAAGAGCATGCTTTTCATGCATTTGTTTAATGGCATGCTAATGCACTTTCGAGCTGGCGTATTTCATTGGATACAATGGAATCTTACATTTCATGTAAAATAACACTTAGGACCAATACATATATTCTGTACTACTGATTGTAATAACACAATATAGAAAAAGAAATATCATCTGACCGTTGCAAATATGTATTAAAGATAAGTAACATACGCCCGAATACTGCAAGCTTTAAGTTTTACTTAAATACCATGCCATCTCTTTTTTTTTACAAAGAGTTTGCAGTGACAGAACTATACTTAAACGCGACTTAAAATTGAGTAGCGTTTGATTGGTTATTTGGACAACAGCCTCACAAACGTATGAAGTACATATATTAAATTGCTTTGTACTCAATATTGTAATTGGATCTTTGAAAATAATGCTCAAATAACTTCTACTTTTATCTAACAAATGCTTCACATAACCTCGATATAACATGAAATTTATATTTACGACTATGGAACTGCATGAAGTATAACAATAAAATTGTTGGCATACTCACGTTTATAAGGGGCTGAAGGATCCCAAGCCTGGCCAGCAACAATTGTTCCTTTACCTGCCGCAGCTCTTCCTGTTGCCTGACTATCATTTGCTGCAACTCCTCGTGTTTTCGTTGCAACTGCTCCTGCCACAGCCACTAATTTGTATCATGCAATAAGGTGCATTATGCCTAACCTAACTACTTAAAACAAGACTCGAAGCAAAATCAATACACATAGATATTGAAACCATGCGTGCCTGAATCTTGCGATGGGACTAGAAGATTGTTAGAATAGAATAGAATATTTTTTGTTGTACACCATTAATAATATAGTACATACAGAAAAAGAAAATGACAAACAAAAAAAAATAATGCACAAAGGCGGTCTTATCACTTATAGTGATTTCTACAAGACAACCTTTGAGTGGATATAATGCAAAAGAAATGTTAGGTTATTATAGGTAAAATATTTATGACAGTATGGCAATCTTCGCGAAACTCACCTGCATCTGCGCTTGGTCGGGAGACACGATGACTGGTAGCGGTGGAATGGACAGCGGCAGCACCCCGGGCACTCCCACCGCGCTCACGTACGGCGCGGGGTCTAAGTACTGCGCACCTATGCCATGCTGTGGAGCCGGGGCTGCTTCCGTGCTCTTATGTGTCTGCAGGAATGTATAGTTCTAGGCGTTAAGTAAAAATTATGAAAACATGTAAATACATGAAATTAAAACAATTTCTTTCAACAATAATGAGAATTACCTCGCGCATGGAATTTCTTTGCGACGAGCGGGACTCGCCGGACAAGGATCCTGTGTCCGAGCCAGTGAAGTGGACATGAGAAGCCCGGGTCCACGACGCGCCCGCGGTCGCTGCTGTACCAGCGGTAGCAACAGTTCCAGTCGTGCTGCCAGCCGATGCCGACTTAACCGAGGCCGGCTGCAAATATATAACATTTATTTTTATTTTATGTTTGCTAAGTATCATTTTTAAATTCATCATTATTCAGAAAACCAAATAATAAAAATGATCTTAATAGGTGGACATATTTTCTAGCTTTTTTAACCACCACCATTACCGAATGTATAAAATTAAATTATCAATTTGTTGGAGCATAAATAGTGTACAACCTTATTACAACTTATGGGCAAATCTTTGAAAAATAAGTTTCCAAGGAGTCAATGACTTTTATGGTAAAGTTACCGACGTAACTGATCTTGCACTTGCAGGTTTTGCTTACGTAAGTAGAAGTGACGTAATTAATTTGTTACATGAAAAACAATGTGAATGTAAAAATGTTATGTTCTAGAAGGGTTTACACCGCCCCGTTACGTTGGTGTAGCTGGAACCTATTATTGTTATTATAAGGTTGTTTAATGACGAAATTTTCTTGAAATTTTATAGGTACTTAGGCAATTCGGAACCGATAAATCGATCTAGTTAGGTTTAATTTTCAGATTTTTTTTGTTTACATTTAATTTTTCGTATTTCCTACAAAAAAACCATTGGTCATCCATGTACTTATTATTAATGCACTTACACTGACTTGAGACAAGGGTTGGTAGGAGGAGGTACCAAAGGCATCGCTCGCTTCGGACATGTATGATGGTGACATGGAAACCATGGCGTCATCAGACGGTGCTTCCTTCATCACTCCTCGGTTCACTTCAGCCTCACTCACTGTATCAGCTTCCGCACCCTCTTGTTTCATGCTCTTCGCAATATCCGCGTAACTGTAACAACACAATGTTCAATGCTCAAAAACCATATTGTATAAATTTTAACGTATTAACAACTAAACATGTCGCAATTGGCAAAATAAATAAAAAATGGACGCGATGGCAGCTGATAGCGGATTTCATTTCGCTGGTAACAACCTTTAACTCTCACGCGAGCATAAAACAGAGTGAAAATCTACTTACCAGAGAAAAAGTATATTTATTTATGGAATATGAGGCAAACGAAGAGACGGATCACCTGATGGTAAGCGATCAATACATATTTCACATAAGAGGCACGATAGGGCCAAGTCGAGCGGAGTGATACCACGATCTTATAGAAAACTTGTGTGAAATCACTCACACGCAACGTTGTGTTTCATTGTGTGAGTGACTTCACTCACCCCGGGAAGGTTTGGATCTTTATAACCTTATCAAAGGCCCAAACCTTCCCCCATCATCAATCCCCAAATCCTCAATCTCTAATCTAACAGACCGACACCGTACCAGTAACTATCCCGGTATTACGGGTGTCTATGGATAGCCCCGATTACTTACCTAACACCAGTTTTGCTAATGTTAATCTATCTTAATCTTTCGGTGTTATACACAAGCTGATTCCATGTATATTTTGCTTAATTTATAAAACATTTACTTCTATGGGAATCCTTTACACAGTTTGCCTGTAGATTTACTTTGATCGGGTACTATGACCTCAGCATATTTAATAAATCAAAATAAACACAATAACAAGAATTGAGCAATGAATTATAGTTTCCTTACGAAATAAAACTAAACCTAAGTGTTAGAAAAATGGGGGTGTCACTTACATTGCGAAACTCTTGCAAAATACTTTGCAGATTAAAACCTATAAGCACGCGTAGGAGCAGAAGGCTCAAGCTTGTTTCAATTGAACATTTTCCTTAGCAGCGGGTTGCCTGGCTGTTGTATGTTTACGATATTGTGAAAGGCATGTATACATCCGTCTATCTACCTTGTATTCAATTTTTTAAATAATCTACCAACTAAGTATAAATGGAACATAAAAGACTCGAACACAAAACATGTAATTTATCCCTTTATCAGTACCATCACTTCCTGAATAGAAATTTAGCATCAATGTTCGAAATAACCCACAAACGGGCATCAAAATTCATTGGTGTGACGTCTTTGTCACAACGCTTTGCATTATACATGGGAAATCCAAACAAAAAGTTGCTTCATATTCAACGGCACGTGGCATATAGTTCGTTATATTAAAGTGGTGAATTGTTTTCCGTATTTTCATATTTGTAATTTTTTAATCAATATTTGTTATAAAATTTTATTAATGTGGCCGTGTACTTACAAAATGTAAGTTTATTTAGCTTTTATTTAGTTTATTTTTTTAAGGGTGGATAATCACCGAATTACTGCTGCCGCCTGAGTGAGAAGGGAGGGAGTGTCAGACTCTTATTGACTAAAAACCCCCCCGTTCCTTCTCCTGCACGTCGAGCCGGAGCCCCGGTAACCCGTTAGGTTCTCCGCAACTCTGAATCAGCATCAGTCCTGTTGGGCCCCATCTGTGGTGGTCTGATGGCTCTTTTAGGCGCGCGCGGAACGCGACGCGCCGTACGCTCGGGTCTGTTTCTGGTCAGACGGGGAGCCACCCATGCTCGCCGTCCGCAGGCCCGCGCTTACGGAGGCCGGAGATCGTCCCGCGATCCCCGACGCCCGGTGTGTCCTTCGCGATGGCTGGGTTGCGAGGAGGCAGCGCTTCGCTGCCTCACGCGTCCCAAAAGGAGGACACGGCATCCCAGTCCCCCTCGCTCCGCATCATGGCCTGCACTAGGCCCGGACGTGAGAGGTCGCCATCGCCGATCACTTCCCTGAGGGCACGGCGGTGCTCAGCCCACGCAGGGCATTCAGCTACAGTGTGTTCCACCGTGTCCTCAGGGCGGTCTTCGCAGTGATGACACCCGGGCGTTTCCTCCCGCCCCATCAGACACAGGTCCCGAAACACACCTCCCGAAACTTCCATGTCCGGTGAGGACCTGCGTCAGGCGGTAGGTGAGGACGCCGTAGCGTCTCTCAAGCCACTCTTCAAAGAGGGGACTTATCGCTGCAATGGCAGCGAGCCCAGCCCTCGGTTGCGACAGTCGTTGCTGCCATTCCGCCATGAGATCGCGGTCGACGAGGTGTAACAGTAGGTAAGTAGTGCAAAAATCAGCATCAGAGGGGGTACTTAGTTAAAACTGAAAATAATTGAGCTTTAAAACATGCATATACAAGGTGACTAGATCACGATTCATCATTATGTATAAACTTTAGTGATTGAAAGTAAAGTGTCATAATAATAAGCAAATTATGGCAGCTAGCTATGGCGGTTTCAGATCCAGTCACCCTGTATAGAAATATAATTATGTTTAAACTGGCACATACCTTACGACACGATGAGTGCAAACTACAAACTCTGGTTTTGAGTTCCATTGGTGATACGTGATATAAAAGCGAGTTTGAAGCCAAATCCACTGCTGCCCTTTCGTTAAGAACCGGTAGTAGCATGACGTTAATTCACCTTTTTGCATCACTGTAATAAAAAAAAATGTTGTTAGCAATGGTAACAATTTGTCTACTTTACAAAAAAAAATGAAAGATGTTTTGTTTTTATTTACGTAGTAATACACTTATCAAGGTATAATAAATAAAACTTACAAGCTTCATGACATGTTACTACTTTTTCTAAGTCATCAAAGTGATAATAATCGTAGCCCGAGGTGCCAAGTACTTCGAATGGTAAATATCCAATAATAGGCGGTGCACGGTGGTCCAGAAACAGGAATTTCCATTCAAGACTGTGTCGCGAAGTAAACTCGCTGCGACTGGAGTCTACCAGAGACACATCACGGATCAGTTGAGGAGTGTACAACCGGCCCGTGCAAACGAAGAGTAACCTGGTAACCACACAAGAAGGCAACATTATACAAACCATTTTAACTTATAGGATTCATTGTATCGAAACATCACACTAATCGATATTAGGAAAGTTCAGAAATAATTATTATTTATTATTTACCTTGACTCATGGTCCGGATTGTAACTCGGCATATCATCACTATCGAGTGGCTCCATATTTGTTCCTAAAATGTGTAAATTTGGAAATTAAAATTATTATGTAATTCAGAGTGTGTACATAATGAAGAAGATGTCATAAAACTCTTAATAGCTCAACAAACGAAAAAAGTGATGTTTATGTTACTAAATTTACAAATCATTTGATACTGTAATTACAATTAGTCGAGTACTAACTAGAACAGAACGAAACTTATTCTTGATAATTGTATTAGGGAAAAGCACATTTATAACGAGTGACTTGTGTCACATTTATAGCGAGTGCATGTCATTAAAGGACATGACCCAAAAGTAGTCCCATTGAAATCAATATGCGAGCAATTAGCCAGATAATGATCCAAAAAGTTCATAAGCGCCTCATATTAGACAACATCAGAGTCCAAGTAAGGAGGAAGGTCACACAGAATAACACAGCAAATGTGAATAAGATTACTTTATTTATTTTATTTTCTAGTGTTACCACAGCAGTCGATCGATAGTCGATTGATGCCATTGATCGATGGCATAATCGACGTCGATCGACATTTTCTACCAGACCTATTGATCGAAGAACAATCGACGATCGACCGATGGTAGAATGGTCAATATCGATCGAGCTGCTTGAGCTCCCCACTGTCCGTCCAATCAACGTCGACTGATGCCATCGACCGGCAACCGATCGATTGGGTTGTCAATCGGAATCCGTCGATCAATTAAAGGTTCTACACCAATCGATCAACACCGATCGCTGTCGATCTTAGGATCGATCGTAGATCAATAGATTGGTGTGGCAACACCGATTACTCATTGTAGAAAAAACAAAAGATAGATTTACACCTTAATTCACACAGGTACTAAGCAATAGGGATTGTACCACACTAATTTAGTAATAGCCAGAACAAATGATTTGTAATGTTACTTCCAAAGACATAAACAATTAAAAGCTTCGAGGACTGCTGTTTACCCATAGCCTGATCTCAATATTATGTATGAGAAATCGCGTCGGAGGCGAATCTGAATAGAGGTGCGGGAGATTAACAAACAGTTGTGTAATATTTTCGATTCAAAAGAAGTTAAGTTTTGGGAGCTTTTCAGTGGTTATGAGTTCCATTTTTCTTAAGTATTGGCTGTTACATAACTGTCAAGTGAACTGTTTGAAAGACTCAGCCTGTTACGTATTATAATTAATTGAGTATGTAATACTTACGGAAGTGACCATTGAATTGTATAAGTTCGTAAGTGGTTTCATCTCTAAAATCCAAAGATCCTCTTTTTAGATGACACTGGAAGCGGATTTCGTTTTCTAAAACAAAGAAAATTTTGATTGCATTGCGCGTCCTTGCAAAGTTCACGAGTCGAGGTAATCACTTAAAATATCTTTTAAGTACATAGACATAGGTATGTATTATAAGACATACAAATTACAGACGAAATTATAACAGTCCTACAGTAAAATGTCGCAAGACGTTCGCATTTGCAAGGCTATGCGTTTTACATCAGTGGCGTGGCGTGGCGTGGCGTGGCGTCGCGTGGTGTAGCGTGGCGTGGCGTGGCGTGGCGTGGCGTGGCGTGGCGTGGCGTGGCATGGCGAGGCGTGGCTTGGCGGGGGCCCCGTAGACCGGGGGCCCCGTATAATTAATACGGCATATACGGCGCTAGCTACGCCCCTGTTTTACATCGAAAAGCTGTCGCAGTTGTAACCATTCTGCTTCATGTTTATTACTATGTAATGCCTATATCAATTTTACTCACATATTATACTTTATGTTGTACTATTTCATTAACAAAATGGTTATTCTACGATAAAAATATTTTAAAAATAATACTAGCCGGAGTATAAATATCGTCAATGCGTTATGGACCTTTTCAACCCGTCATACTGTTTAGAGTTCTGATTATTGTAGCTTTGTAAATAAACCAAGTGAAACCTATTTTGAGTGTAACTGTTATTCTGGACAAGTAATCCTTAGTGGATGATAAGCTTGTATAGATTTCTTTACATGTATTCATTTATAAACCGATAAAAAAATTATATAATTATTTTAATCAATATAATTCCACAAAAATTTTCCTTGCAATGTGATAGGTATCAACATATATAATTCTTAGTAATGAGATATACCTACAGGATAGGATTACATTCATTGACTAAATTATTAAACAATTATGTATGACAGATGATACTGTTTGCTTTTTTGGTTTGAATTAAAAAAACCTGATGAGCAAATTTTCTCGATAGGTCGTTATCGCTCGTCGTCGCTAGCTCTTTACCATTAGTGGAAACTTTTAGTTTAATTTGAAAGTCTTATTTAAAACTACTAAGAAAACTACACTAGATCACAGTATAAGTTTGTATAAAATTTGTAGCGCCTACTGATATGGAGGTCATATTTTTTCAATAAAATGACTGAAGTGCAGTTGGTAGCTAGCATAGTATTAGCTTACGCGCATTCGCTAAGCTATTTTCGCTCTGCAAATAATGGCTATAGCTGTATTGATAAAACATAATAATAATTAGCGTCTTTATTAAATTGCAAGCAAATCTTTCTCATTTTTTCAATGAGATATCATAATTTATATGTTTAAATAATAGCAAAGCATTTTCAGTATTGGTCAAAGGTATATCACATGCAATAAACCGTATTCATTCCATCAGCATATTGTATTTCTTACAATGATGTATTCACTACTGTATCTTTACACGGTAGCGTTCATAATGAGTACTATATGTACTATACTTATATATCATTATACAGTACTGTATAATAATTATGATAAACGTAATATATGTTGCATTTGAAACTGTTAAGATTATGAGCGCACCATCATTGTTTAATTTACAATATCCATCGCAATTTGCCAAAGGTACACATTATAAAGTTACGCAAAGCAAAATGTTCACTACGGCTTGCCATATTTTGTTTCATAATTGTTTACAATAACACATTCAATATAATGCAAGTGACAACGTCCCTTCGATATATAAGTCACTAACGTAAACAGAGCGTTGGACCAATATCTAACATATCAATATGTGAATAAGATTCAAATCGTCAGCAAGTAGTTTTCCGGTCGCGCCCGGGCATCGACCTAGATCTGTGAGGATAGACCTTTAGATGAGATCTCTACAGAGACGTTTATTTATAAATAACGCATGTTCTAACGAATGCACAATAGAACAGTTATATTGCAGTACAAGTAACTAGCTTGATGTAAAAATAGAACGAAAGAAAGATGTTAGGTAACTATTTTAATTTGTATGTAAAATTTATAAACAGTAGTCTTAGCAAAACTAATTAGCTATTATAGCTTTCGTTAAATTAGTTAGTCGGTCATTTCAAAAGGTGAGTACACACTAGCATAATTTATTTTCAATAATATAAATATTAATTATAAAGATATAATTTAAAAAAAAAAGTTTTACATACCTTTACCAACAGCATGCATTGGGTCAGTTGCACTTCCAGGATTTTGTAACAGATTGTACAAGCTGGGCCGATCATCTTCACAAGCCAGATCAAATATGCTTTTGTTCACGACATCAGCCTACAAGTAGGGAAACAGGTTAATTATTTACTCTTTGATTTATATCCAATAAAAAACATTTCACTAACCACATACCTTAGCATAACAGAGTTCAGAAAACTAAATATTTAGACCTAAGTTTCTAAATACTACATATTACGCTGTATAAAATATCTACAGTAATACATAAAAGAGAAACTTACTGGGTTGTGGCCCAGTAATGATGTGATGCTTTCAGATACATAGTAGATTTGACCAGTAGCTGAGAAAACCATTACAAAGCCCTCCAATGCCTCCAATACTAAATATGTAAACTCTTCATTTGACAAGAATGCTGGTTTCCAATCTTCTTGAACATCGTGAGCTCTTGATCGAACAGTTATTTCTAAAACAAAGTTATCATTTAAAAATTCAGAAAATATTATGTTTTATGCAATGACGGACCATTCACGTTGTTATTAGTTTCTTTTGTCACAAAACGCGAAATAACGAAAATAATTATAAATATATTATTTTGAATATTTCCAAAAATTTTTTACGAATACAGGACAATGTAATTATAAAAAAGGGCCAGTCAGGTTCAAAACGGGAAATCTGGTCATATTGTCTATGAACACATAATTATGTATTTCTATCAAACTTTGTTATTACATCTTTATACATCATTAGTCTTAAAATTATTTTACCTACTTAAGCTAATTAATATAACACAAAACACATTAGCAACCGTTGATATTTTATGAAGGTACAATTGTTAAATGCACATGTAAGATAAGAACTAGTATCCCTTAACTTATCTGTTACCTATTTACTATTAAAGGAATTTAGCATGAATTAAATAAATAGTAACAGTTCCACACTTTTAACCTAATGATCTATGTGATATCTATGTGATCTTGTATGAAATAGTCTCCTTGTTAGTCATGAGTATATAGTACTTAAATTTTGGATTTCATTTTTTTTCTTTTAGTTGTATGTGTATTGAGTAGTGTAATTGGTATTTGTACTGTTCTATTCAAATAAATGAGATGTTTACATAATTTGTCTTTATTTTGATCGTTAATCTACACAATTCTAGTGTGGCATTTAAAGCTCAATCAATCCTCGTGTATGGTGATTGACAACTTCATAATTTATATGTTCCATGAAATTAAAATTAAATAGTCTATCACATAATTCAAACCATGCAGCAGTAAGCAACAATCTACTCTCTGTGTAACCTCCAACACCTTAAGAGTAAGTTAAAAAATTCTACCCCAGGATGAAACAGTAAGTGTATATATAACAACAGCCTCTGAACTTGATATATTTCCTTTAGCAATTGTAAGTTCTGGCAAATGCCGTATGTTATTAAATACACAAATATAAAGTTATGCTGAGATATTTTAGAGAATTTATGCAATCTTTTTTTTCTATCATGATGGAAACCCTTATGGACTTCCCATGTCGTAGGGATGACAGAGGGGGCATGCTGGACTCATACCAGCTAAAACCACTGCAGTGCTGCTTCCTCCACTGAATGTGACCGTGACGCGGTTTGATATGAACAACCATTTGCAAAAAGTATAATTATTGGAGAAGTTGTTACAAATATTCACCATGTAATATACTTCTTATTAGGAATCGCCTTTTTCCTAAGGATAGCACTATTTTAATGTATGATACCATAATTATGATTTTATGATCTTTAACGCATGTTTTAAGAAGCTAAAAGGGAATTTTAGTTTTTCATAAGTTCGTAGCATTACAATAATAACATTTCACTTACCATTATGGTTCTTCAAAAATGATATAGTAGACTTGAGGACTGTTGATTTATCCATCTTCCTGTTGTTTGTCGAGACCATAGCACTGAGCTCATTAACCAGCATATTGAATTGGTCTCTCCGCTTCTTCTCACTCAAGTTGCGAGTCCTCCTATCCAAAACAATAAATTAATTAAATAAAAGATCATCTAGTTGCGTTTCAGCAAACACGTAAAGGTTTCCACTGAGTTTTATTGTTTAAATTTCTTCATTTTTCAAGATTTCGGAAAAGTGTGAAATGTGTATGGTTCAAGAGTATACTTAGATGCAATGTGTACATACCTTTTTGTATCATCCTTATCATCACCGTCGTCGTCCATGGTGCTGGCACTTATATTTGGAGTCAACACTGAAGTCCAATCAATCTTTAGGTACTTATCATCGCAATGGTGAAATCAGCCACCTGACACAGTGGGCGATACGGTAGCGTGCCGACTGAAATCACATAATACTACTGAGTAATTTCATACATTAATCACGAACGTCTATCAATACCAACACAATCTTCCGATTAGTATCAACAAGATACAACAAATGTACGATGCGTTTCTGTGAATAGGTAATTGGAAAATGACCACTGTGTATCAAGCAATGCGTCAGATTTGTTGTCGGATTAAACTATACACAAATACGATTCGTGCCCATCACATTACGCACCCGAAATTAGTAAATTTTATGTATTTTGACACGTTACCACATCAACAATGAACGCTTTTACGAAATTATTGGATAAAATGAGCAACTTATCAAAAAAACAAGGCGAGTTCACTGTACGTACATTGATGGATTCACATTCGCACTTGCACGAACAGCAATAGATAACAGCAACTTTTTTATTGTGTTTATGACTGGGTATTGGTGATTTGTGTTTGTGAGACAACTATTGATATAGGAACCAAATGGATAAGAAATTATTGGCTATGGCAAAATTTGAGATGTATCTCGACGGTAAGTTAATAAAAATACTGCTATTTCTTTTTTATTTATGTTTCCTTGCTAAAGAAAGAGAGAGACCACCCAACATTTTCATTATGTCGATAATTATATGACGTCACTAAAATACCTATTCGGAGCTAATCCGCCATTACAAAATACATGGAGGTAGATCGTAGGTTACTATAATCAATCTGTTGATTTGTTTATTGTGTACTGACGTGGTAATGAAGATATACGTAACACGAAATCAGTAAAATAATACATATTTCATTCTAAAATATGCCTGTTTTAATTAATAAAAATATCGATATTTTGCTACTGTTTAACAACATTTCTAGTTCAATCCATCATAACAAAATACTGTCCTATTTAGATACGAAATACACGTTATTTTCATAGGCAGGGACGTTCATCCTCGTTCATAGATATTTCAGGTCCTTGGGTTTCCTTCGTCACTTTTGGTTTCGTCATTTTTACTGATAAATCATTAATCATATTATTAATATATCGAATCTATACATATAATAAAACTGCAGGAGTGTAAATTCTGTACAATGAAAATAATAAAAAGTAAATAGGACGGGGGGGGGGGTGTTACTAGACAGATATCGAGACTAAAAATGTTATTAAAAGAAGTTCACGCATCGCGCTAAAACTACTGGTCCAATTACGATGAAAATTCGTATGATTTACTAGTATATTTTAATATCCTGGGCGCAGCACTGGGTAGGTACCTTTTATCCCGAAAAAGAATATAAACAAAAAACAATCTTAATTGTGTGGTTCAATCCCGAGACACAATTATTGCACCAAACGCAAATATAAGTTTCTTTCATCTTTTTCTTTTTTTAAAAACGTTGCCCCACACTAGGATTTTCTCCTGTGTCGTGGGTGCGAAGCGAATACAAAGACTTTACGCTGTAACTTTGAGATTTGACTTAACGTTGACATAACTCAACCATTAGCCTTACAGACCAACCTAATGGTTGAACCAAATATGTTGCGAGTTTGTGTGAATGTTTGTTAGTCATTCATTCCAAAACGGCTGAAGAGATCAGGATGAAAATTGGACCAGAAGTAGATTATGGTCTGGAGTAATACATAGGATCCCTCATAATACACATTTTTTTACCCTTGGGAACGCGGGTGAAGCCGCTGATTTGAAACGTGACTATTGGTAGTCAGCGCGCGGCGGTGCAGGGGCAGAAGGCGATACTTATTATTCTCTTTGGTAGCCCGTCACCGTCAGTGTTGGTTAGTGTTCATTTCTTTCGTTTCCAAAATGACAATAAGTTTTCTGTCGACGTTTCAAAAATACCAAATTATGGTGAAATAAATGCTTTCGAGTTTGAGTTAGTTTTCTGTCGCTCGTTATTATACCTGTTATAACGGTAGATGTCGCTGTAGAAACTGAAATATTACAATTTGTATATGATGATGATGAATTCTTCATGCATTCATATTTTATTAAACAAATATTTTTTACAAACCAATAAAAAATTCTTGAAATCTTAGAAAAGGTTACAAAATAACTAAATCTGTATGAATTATTGAAATATTACTATATAGTCTGTGGTCAACACTGTGGATCGCTTGGGTTCGCTCCTTCAAGACTCACTCACTCGTTCAAAGAGTTTAGTAATAGGGTACATTCGATGCTGTTGCTCACTCGTTACTCGTCATCATATCTCGTCATTCTCCGTTTGTAGTCCGTTCTCTGTTCGTCTACATCGGTCAACTACACACCGGCGCCGGTCGTGATCGTCGTACTTTATCGCAATAAACTTGAGAATCGGAGCGGATTCTTCGGAGTTTCTGTAGTATTTTATACTACTCTTTGCTTCGCAGCTTGAGTGTTGATTAAATGACAATTATATTCGTAAATCAATTTTTTAAGTTTCCATTGAGGGTAGTGGTCATCCGGAATATTATCACTGTGCTTTTAGTTTTTTTTATTAATATAGTTATCGTTTAAACTTCAAAAATTATGCGACCTAATCGGCGGATGGGTCACTACTTGACTCCAATCCGGGAAATGCAAGAGGTAAGTCATATTTTATCTTTTTTTTAATTTTAATCTACATACGCTAATATAATTTCGATAATATTCTTCGAACCAAATTAATAATTATTATTGTGGTTACGTAATTGTGGCGGAACGTTCGTTCCTAGCGGAGTGAGGGACGCAGGTATTATCCTCACCACGCGGTCGTTACGTAAGGAAATTATGTAAGGATGAAAATTTAAGGGATGATTACTTGAAAACTATATTATAGGCTGGGAAATACAAAGAAGCGCGCGCAATGTGATTCCGCTGGCGACGCTGGCGTGTAAACAAGATAAACATAAACACGAAGCGACGGGCGCGGCGCCCGTCTATCTAAATTTATTTTATTTTCTGCGTTGACGGTAGTCATGCAAGCAGACAAAGACCATGTGCGGATTGTGCCGGCCAGTGGTCGGTAGTGGTGATTCACTTGTTGGACGCAGCTCTTGTAGTGTTCATTACTTTGACATAATCATGTCAATAGTCGTTATGTTTGTTAAGAATATCATATTCTTGGTCCTTTTCTGAAAGTGTTCGAAATAACTAGTTCTAACGAAAACGTTCTACCATTTTTTATTTCATTGACCGGTTCTTACAGAAAGGCCCAAAAATGTATGGAGCCGAATTAATGATGTCCTTTACGTAACAAACTTACCTAACTAGTAACAAAATACCTCATTTATAATGTGGTTAATTTGAGTGTAGTTCATAGGTACGAAGGCGTGTAGACGCATAATTATGACAAAACCAAAAATACCTAACTAGCTTATGTGGATACATGTTTTGTAAAATGAAAAAATATTATTTATTTATTATTTTATAACACGCATTAGAATCATTCCTTTCTGACTTGTCTATCAGGTTTTCTTTATCAGATTCAAACCTAGAAGAAGTTAGAGATAAAAAGGGTATACCTACATATAGGTAGAAAGTTACAAGATGCACTGCATTTTAAAACTGATTATTCTACATGCAGAAGACTTAATGAAGTACAGTTAAGTACTTACCTAATCTATCTCTAACCTACCATGTACCTATACCTAGGCTTAGGCAACTGTTGCATCGTAACTAGCAGCCAAATGCAACAGTTGCCTATGTAGTTAGGTACCATTACTATAATTTTCATGGGTTATTTACAAATGTACCTACCTGCATTTCTTGGGATCTATATTTTCAACGCCAGATACATTTTATCTGAGTGAGTAATAACTTTGAATATTCGACAATTCTTCTATACTTAAAACTGTCAATTATGTCAATTTTATTGTACAGTTAAGAATTAACTGATACGGGGATACGTTTTAGAATAGTTACAGGTATTTTTCAGGGATAACCATACAGTAGTCCAAAATAGGTACCTAGATTATGCGGGTTAAAACCTAACAAGCATTGTTGTGAATCGTGTGTAGGTACTAAGGTAGTAGGTACCGTACGAGGTACTAGCGAGCCGTGAATTATTTATTAAATAGTTATCGAACAGATCGCAATCATTCAGGGGAATCCACACCGATAAGAGGTAGTAGACTTATTGACACTTAGATAGAAAGAAAAACTGTTTATTTACGCTGTAGTACACAAAACATACAAAGACATGCGTCTAAACAACACAAAATGGTTACGCCCATCTAAATGTTGAGGCCCACCCAGGCCCGAAGATTCGAAGCCACGGCGCTGATTATCAGCAGTAGCCAGCCTACCTACCTCGGTAGTTAGGTACGTACATTTTATTCTAAAGGGAAAAGACCGCTGACATAGGTACCTATCGTATGGGTTCCAGTGTCCAGCTCCAGTAGTAATAATAATGTTCAGGAGACAGAGCTTGATGTATTTATATGTTGGTATATGAATAAAGGATTATTATTATTATTAATATATTATGATAGAGAATTAAAAAAATCGAGTAACGGTCGAAATTACAATAGGTAACCGGTTTTAATCCAACCTCTTGGTCAACCTCAAATCCAAATCTAGATCTTGATAGAAATTATAAAGCCAACCAAAAGAACTGTTGAAATATTTTTATATACATGTCTAGGTAGATTAGGTTCTTAAAGATATTTTAAATCAAACAAGCCTTAAGCTGTATTGTATCTTTTCTACGTCATTATCACGTTCCATGAACACTAATTCATAAACATCTTCGAAAAATTATGTAGCGACGAAATAAGTTATTATTATCTCGTCTGAGGTAAGGCGATGACCTCTGCAATGAACTCTGGTGGAGGTTAAACATGCCAGTCTGGACATGCGCAAATAGAATTAAATAGGAGTAGCCACAATATTGACAACACGCTAAAAGTCACCTCATTCCCAAAAAATGGTGACGAATTTGGTGTGTCATTGAATTCGTAGTGTAGTATCATCTATAAAAATACTTTCATAGGTAATAAATAAACTTTTTTTAATTTTCGATGCATTATAAAGAAGATCATAAATCCTCTTACAGATAATTATCGTAAATACCTATCATTGTAAATAAATAATGAAAAATGCAATGCCATTCATATTATGCATCCTGTGATAGGTAGTTTATCACTCTAGTGGAGAATCATTATGTTGATAGTAAAGAAAATTACTAGTAATAAAAGTTTACTAGCTAGATGTTTATACAATTATTGGTTAGGTATGTCCTATAATAGCGCATACTTAAAACGCCATTACATGTTAATGTAAATAATTACTTAGTTTTCAACAGTTGTTCATTTTGAAATTCGAAAAATGAGAATAAATTTTTAAATGTTACGCGCTGTTTTTATCCAAGTCAAAGATGTTTCACAACCACAAGTGCCTAATAGTTTAGCCAAACATCGATATACGCTTGTTAACTAAAAACTGTAACTAACAATTAGTTAACATTTTTTTTTTTTTTTTTTTTTTTTTTTTTATTATTATTACATTTCAGTACAGTTTAAAAAATTTTTTGCACCATTAAACCACAGCTGGTTTGTATTGGTACTCACATTCGCAGTTTTATGTTATAAATTTATAAACCCATTCAGTGTGACAATTATGCTAATATAATAAGTGACAAAGATTTTAGATACATTACATATTTTACGAGTAACAGTAAACATCCATGAGCAAAGCATAAACGTACTCATTAAAATTGCAAAGAAACAAAGTACTCGAAGAAACCGATACCGACACACACGGCACTAGCCAATGTTAAACTTTTGCAGTCTACCCCACAATATGCTACATTGGCATTATGTCTTGTATTAGTTCTCAATATGTAACCGGTCCTCGTCAACTTAAAAAATTGTAATATACAGGCTGTTTCCTACATTTTGGTCGTGAATAATTTTAGACCATGTTATTTATGATACTGTGGTAGTATTTTTTATATTTCTGTTTATAGTTTTTGGAGTTAATTTCGTATTTGATATTTTGTGGAATTTCATTCATTATTGTGGGGATTATAAATTTAGAGGTTCGTCTGCCATAATAATTTTTAACTTGAGGTATTATTAATTTATTTTTGGTAATATTCCTAGTGATTATTTTATGCGAAATGGGTACTTGAATACTTTTATTATTAAATTGTTCACTCAAGAAGGCTAGATCAAAACGAAACTGTACAGGTAATATTTTGCAATATTTAAATAATTCTGTGACGTTATTTCTGCATTTGTCTTTTATTTTACTCGGGACCATAAGTTTTAGAAATCGAACCTGCAATTTGGTTATCTTTTCAACAAGTGTTTTAAAGGTACGCCCGTAACTTGTGATTCCGTATGCAATAATTGATTCCGCCAAGGCCATGTACATGCTAAGTAGTGTTTTAAATGGAACTTTCGGTTTCAATATGTAGAACTTAGCCAATATTGCCCGTAACCTGTCACACACTAAGTCGACATGAAAAGACCAGTTGAAACGGTCGTCTACGATTAGTCCTAGGTACGTGTGGTGCGTTACCTGGTCAATTTCCTCGCAGCGACACGCGCCTCGCCGCGTGGAGTGAAGGCAACCGTGACTATGTGATACAATACTAAAAGGCATCATTAGCTTCAAGTGGCTTGAATGGACATGTATTATTTTAGTTTTACTGGAGTTAATAACCAGTCCAGCATCATGTGCCCATTTGGAGACTCTAGTAAAATCTTCCTGTAACCAGTGCGCTGCTATATTAACATCTCTGTGGGCTGCTACAAGGCATGTGTCATCTGCATATTGATAAATTGAGCAGTGATTTACCACATGCTCCATGTCGTTGACATAAGTCAGGTAGTGCAAAGGCCCAATTACTGAGCCTTGAGCCGTCCCGTCAGTGACATCAACAGCATCACTCATCTCAGTACTGATTTTAACAGTGTATTTTCGATTGTTCAGGTAGTCTTTACACCACCCAAGCATTGGCCCCCGAATCCCAGAGTTTTCAAGCTTTGTCAACAGCGTGTTATGTTTAAGCGTGTCAAAAGCCTTACTGAAGTCAATAAATAGCAAAAGTACATGGTTTCTGGCATTGAGAGATTCATTGACCTCATCAGTAAATTTTGACAGCAGCTGTGAAGTAGACTTATTAGCTTGAAAACCATACTGTGTACTGGACAACACGTTCTGTTTGACATAAAAATCTTGTATCTGTTTACAGATATATTTTTCTACTATTTTGTCAATAACCGGCAAAATAGTGATCGGTCTATAGTTTTTATAGTCACTTAAGCTGCCTTTTTTATGTATAGGGCGCACTATACCGGTTTTCAATACTCCCGGATACTTTTCTTGTTTAACACTAGTATTAATTAACTTTACGATAACACTGGCCATCTTGTTACATATTGATTTTATGTCTATGCACCTAATATTGTCTATGCCAGGTGCCTTCTTTGCGTTGAGATTTTTAATTATTTTAGTCACACTGCTGTTTGTAGCCTTCCTAAAGCAAATTGACGAGTTATGGGAAACATATACTCTGTTTCATTTAATAAACGATGTTTACAATTTGGCAAGATTTTTTGAACGCTGTCTCTGAATTCTTTAGCAAAATTATCCGCGAT